CTGCTTCAGATCCTCTGTCTCCCTCTCTCTCTCTGCCCCTCCCTGGCTCACACACACCCTCACAACTGCTCTCGCTCTCTCTCTCTCTCAAAAATAAATGAACATGTTTTTAAAAAAAAACAAAAAAATAAAAACAAAAGATTGCAAGTGTTGGCGAGGATGTGGAGAAAAAGGAGCCCTCGCACGGTGTTGGCGGGAAGGTAACATGGTGCAGACAGCACGGCAAATGATACGGAGGTGCCTCGAAAAATTACAAAAAGAACAACCACGTGACCCAGCAGTCCCACTTCTGGGTATATATCCAAAGGAATGGCCATCAGGATCTAAAAGAACTACATACAGTCCCATGTCCACTGCAGCCTTAGTCAACGTAACCAAGACAAACAATCTAAATGTCCACTGACGAGTGACCAGATAAAGAACATGTGTTATAGACGTACAATGGAATACTACTCAGCCTTTTACAAGAAGGGAATCTGTCACATGTGACAAGCTGGATGAATCTGGAGGACGTTATGCTAAGTGAAAGAAGCCAGTCACAGAGGATATATACAGCATGATTCTGCTCATGATGTATCTAAAATAGTCAATCTCATGGAAACAGAGAAGAGAACGGTGGTTGCCAGGGACTTTGGGAAGGGGACATGGTGAGCTGCTTGCTGTTCGATGTATATAAAGTTTCAGTTATTTAAGATGCCTAAGTTCTAGAGATCTGCTGTACAGCTTAGTGCCTACGTTTAACAACACCGTATTAAACACTTAAGCATTTGTTGACAGGGTAGATCTCATGTGAAGTGTTCTTTCGCCCACTAAGAAAAAGGAAACAGCTGATAGAGCCATGAAGAAAAATGAAGCAAGGCCAAGGAACCAACGAGGGACCGCTTCAGAAGGGTTGGTCAGGGAAGCCTTCCCCAAAGAGGCGAACTTTGCACACAGAACTGAAATGATCAGGAGTGAGCCATGCAAATTATCCGGGGGAAGGAGTATTCCAGGCAAAGAGAAAAGTGAGTGCAAAGGCACAAGGCTGGGAACTTACTTGGTAGCTTTAAGGAGCTGGAAGGAACCCAGCCTTCCATCCTGATGCCTTCCTTCTGGTTTTTCCAAAGCTCCCACAGCAACCGTCACATCTCAGGCTAATGTGACATCAGACGAGGGTGCCATTACACAGCCCCACCCTGGCTCACCCACTGCTTCCCTCCCCTGCACCCTGCAACCTCCAGGCCCTTAGAGCAGTGCCCTACATGGCCAATGTCCCAAACACCTTCTAGAAACACAGCCCTGGCAAGACTGAGGCCAGGGTCCCAGTTCCAACTGTTACCAGTGTCTGGGCCCCATTCTATGTGCCTCCAATGCCTGTCACACACTGGACCAAGGCTGGGGCCTGAACACCCAACCTTGAATCCTGGCTCTGCCCCAACTTGCAGTGTGACCTGACACAAGTCATTTAATCTCTCTGAGACTCAGGTGCTTTATCTGTAAGACAGATACAGTGATCTCTGCCCTGCTAACCTCAAGGGTTGTCAGGAAGATCAAATGAGATAATGTACATAACGATATTTTATAAACTGCTTTACCAAAGCAGAGATCATCTTGAGTTTAAAGATGAGGGGTTGATCACAGGCTCTTATCTCCTTTCTCCCAAGATACCACTAATATTCCGGATGAATAGAATGACTGGGATGGGGGGAGTCCAATGGAAGAGAGATTTGACAAGTGTGTAGAAGGAGGAGGGGGGACATTAGGAGGG